ACATCATATTCAATACATAAGTATATTTACAAACAATATGTACTTATAGCCGTCATTAAACCCCATAAGTTATTTAGATATAACTAAATTAAGTTTAGATATCATTTTATTGTGTTTAATGTATACTAATCATAATATATTATGATTGTATTTTGTAATTATGATAAAAAATAATTTAAAATTATTGATTATTCATAAGTGTTGCATAACAGTTCTTTTTCAAATAGTAAAATATAATTAAAAGTCTTTTCAGGTAAATTAGATAAATAAAAAGTATAACTTTTTTTTAATTTGAAAACTTAAAGAAAAAAAATTATAATACGAATGAAACTTGATTAAATTTATATTTATCATTTTCATTTTTTATCTAAATTAGAAAATAAAGGAAAACATTTGTAAAAATACTATTAAAAAATATTGCTATGCATCGAAATTGAATTAGCTTGAAAAGTATTAAAATTTTCATTTGTCCAATATTTGTTGATATCCGAGTATTATTAAAAATCATTTTATACCTAAGAAAAGTTTAAAGCAAAAAATATTTTATTTGCTCTTACCGATTTTATTTTGGTGCAATAGATAAAAAATTTGGAAATGCAGGAAAAACTTTAAACACAAAATGTAGAAATTAAAGATACGATAAATATTTTTAATTATACTATGAATCAATCATGTAAAATACCAATTTAAAAGAAATCGAAAATTTTTAAGTGAAGGACTAACATTAATAGTTTATAATAATAAAATGAATAAAACCTGTACCTTCTCAAAAGATTTAGACACGTATAAAAAATAATTATAAGTCTTTTTATTAATATATTTTAACCGTGTTTAAACTTTTCCATTAACAATGATAGCTGAATTAATAACTTTTCAATAATGAATTATAATATGAAAATGTCAAAATATTCTTTAATTAGATGTAATTTTTTTTTAACAATTGTCTAAAAATTATTATCTTAATATTTTTAAAAATACGCTAAATCATTTATGTGAGTCCTTGATTAATGTTTTTACAAGATTCAAAATTCATTGAATATTTTTATAGTTTAAAAATAAAGTATCTATTTCTTTCATGATAAATAAATTATAAACTGTTGTCTTATTAACTTTTAACATTTTTCGTTTAATATAAATATTAGTTTGATTATTCTATTAAAACAGCATATCATTATGAAAGTAAGTAATAATATAAATTGTATTCACATAATTGCAAGGACTTGAGGAACACATTTTTGTGGTTGTTCTATAAGTGTTTTAAAACAATTACTTACTTATTTTGTGATCATTTATGACTAAATAAGTAAGGAAAACATTAGGTATATATATAGTGTTTTCCTTCGTTTTACATTGACAACGACTATCGCGTAACGCATATTGTTAACACTTTCCTCTTATGTAGGTTTATATAAGTAGCATTGGTCTTAAGCACACCGCAGTATGTATTACTGTTGGGATGGCTTTAATAGCGACGATAGAAGTAAATTCAACCGTGACCTTTCTACACCCGCATTGAACTGTCGCAGGTCACTTGATTATACATTTATATATATATATAAACGTATATATAATTATACGATTCATTTTTCTACTACAGTTAACCCTAATGCATTATGAAAAAGCTACCAAAGCGATATTTCTTTATTAAAAAATTCTTTTGTCAAAATTAGATTAATAAAAAAAAAAAAATTAAAGATATTTCAACTAATTTTTGAAATTGATCCTTTTTAGTTTCAAACCAAAAAAATATAATAATATTGATGTTACAAGCTGGTAAGTTGGCTAAGTAATATTTTGGGCTTCTCCGTAGATTTTGTAAGGTTTTTCACAAATTTCCATAACCTTCTAATAACTCATAACTTATTTTTTAAAAACTAATAATACCTTAAAAAAGGTTATTTACTTGAAGGTGCCTTTCTTATGATTCTCATTTAAAAATGCGTCATTGTTTAGAATACCTTATTTTATTTTACGCATTAAAATTATTTTACCAAGTTAATAATTGTGATTATCATTGATAAATGTCTAGTCTTTTTTTAATTCTTCGTATTATTTGTGTTAGGATAATAAACAGATATTTTTTCTGCTAAATTAAGTAGTTACATCACTTTCAATGAAGAATTATACGCATAATGTACATATTACAATAGTAAAAATTTCAATGAATTGTTTTTGTACATAAAAAAAAGATAAGTGTATACAATGATTGTACCGCTCCATAAAACTGTAGTTCATAAGGTAAAATAGGGTATGGGTAAGTTTTTTAATACTCGATGGTATCTTTTGAACGGGATAATGTTTCTGTTAAAAAAATCATTGGGTCACAGACCATATACACCGATATATACCCTATCGAAACCATGCCGAGACTTCCTGCGGAATGCGCGGTATGCGTTTAATTGCCCCGTGTCGATGACCTTGCCCAATAAATATTCGGTTTGTCAGTGAAAATGGAATAATATTAATAACAGTTCAAACATTTCAGAGAAATAATTGTGTTCAATCATCAAGAGCACAGCAATCTAAAATGATAACATTATTGAACACTTAACATTTAATGGCATTTTACACATCATAGAATTATCAATGTGAATCCATTATCATTTTTAGTTGCGTTATGACAAGTACGCTTACTTCTAATTGTGGAAAATACCACTCCTCTCCACTCTATTATAATCGTAATCACATGGTTATGATTGTAATAGAACAATTTATAAAACACGAAATGTTAAAAAAACATGATGTATAGAAAGTTCACTTAAAATTCCGGGGATATAAATTATTTTGTTTGTTATTAAAAAAATATTTTGTGTAAAATTGAAAACCAAAAAAAGAAAAATAAATTCTTTCCAGATATTAACAACATTCTGGGTTTTTTTTTTTGTTAGATTATATCTACAACATACAATTTTCTAATAATTTTAAAAGTTTTTTTGGCACTTTTTAAAAATATCAACAGTTTTATTGCCGTAAAATGGCAATTTTCAGAGAAATTTACTTAGTTTGGCCTTGAATGACTCTGCCCCGTGTTAGTTTCTTATTGACCCTCACCCTATAAAAATAACGGGGTCAGGCTTCGAATTGTACGCATGGAGTTCGAGAAGAGGGTAACTATGTACAACATAGTGTATTCTTTGTGTATACATTTGGTTTCCCTTCGAGGTATAAAAAGGGGAACGGCTTTTTCCATTTTGAGGGTGGACTACCGTTGTATTAGTATATGTACTCTGCCACTGCGAAGCCCATTAAGTATGTCCAAGGTACCATGACAGAAATGAGGGTAAATAACGAACCGGGTGTGTTTTTAGATAGCAATCTATTTCTATTTTCTATTTTTTTTGCATAAAATTTGATAAAAAAAAGTGGCAATTCGTTATATTTTTAATACAGATTTTCGTATTCTAAGAAAATTATATTATAAAAATATAAACTAAGAGTGTTCCAATTGGATAGTATATGCCACGTTCTTAATAATAATTTATCATCTTTACATTTTTATTACTGACTATTGACTACGGTCTAAATCTTACAAGTTATAAATGTGTTTGTAAAATTATTATTTAAAATCAATTTAGAGATTTTTTACAATCTGCTATGAATTTTTTTTTATTGCCGTGTCAAATGTTTTTTATTGCAAAGCCGAGCAGCTGTTCCTATCATTTTCTAGACTTTACACTTTTGTTCTTCAACTATTGGTCGAATAAAACGAAGTAACCCCCACCAAATTACGATCTTAATATCCCAACACAAAAATGAACAGTACAATTAATTAACTTTTGTTTTCTTGAGCGTTCAAGCACACAGAGGATAGGTTAATGCTTGAGGCTGTATTTAATGGCGTACCTAGAATGTATGTGTTGTTGACGATTTGCCAAACAAAATACGCCAAGGACGTTTAGCTGAGAGGAAAAGATAATTCATCGCCGTATTTGTGGTCGTCATCGCCCAATGTAAAATCGTATTTTAAAGATCCGTTTGTCGCCGACTTTGTCTCACTCCATAAAAAAATCGCGAACGTGCACACTTCGAGTACATCCGATATACGCACACCTATTTCCAAGTACACACAACCGGTTCACCTTGACGTCATCATTACACAGAGAGAGTCGTGTGTTTTTACATTTATTTTTCTGCAATTTCATGACAACAATAACAAACATTTACCTATCGGTAAAGTCGTGTAAAATAGCACAACAGTTTTAGTTTCAGATAAATAAGGATAAATAAAAAAAGAAGAAGGGATTAATTTGTTTTTTTTTTTATAAAATATTTTTTAATAAAATTATTCATAAATAAACATCACTTAAAGTCAAAGAATCACACAAAAGCCTTAACAACACTAATATAATTATAAAATCACAATAATCTTTTGCACACAATAATTTTTCTCTTAATTACAATTTATACAGTATAGTTATAAAATATAAAATTATTAATTACATTTACTCATGTATAAAATATGTTACGATTGCTTTAAAATTTTTTAATTAACCATAAACAATAAATTATAATTGCTTTATAGTATAGAGCACCTAGGAACATGACTGAAACACTTCAAGTCGTCTGCGGGAAATATAGATATAAAAAGTATCATTATAAAACATAAATTTTATAATTTATGGAAAAATAAAAATATTTAACTAGAAAATTTAACAGTTTAAATATTTTCGCTAATTCATTGTCTAGAAAGCTTCAACAACAATTAGAATAATTTTTTGATAAATATTATTTCGTTGCATCTTGTTAACATAAAAATATGTTTAATGGTAAATGAATTCTATTCGATACATAAAGGCAGCACTGGTACTTTTATAATTTAAAAAATGAACAATGCAATAAATATTATAAAATCAACCAATGCAATAGTCTTAAACATTGAACCAGATTTAATTATATAAATCTGTTACATTGAGCATGATTTACCATGTTATATAGCGTGCATTTACAAATAAGCACTTAAAAAATTGGAACTAAAATAAAAATTTTTTAAAAGAAATAGCTTAATAAATTTTTATTAACAATAACTTTTACGCATTAAATTACAAATACAAAATAAATATAAATTTGATTTGTTTTTAAATTCATAAATTAACAAGAAAGCCATAGGCTTATCAATATAATACAATTTAAAAGTTATATGAAATAAAATTCATATTTTAAAAGGCTATAGAAACATTGAGCGTATTTTGAAGCAAATTATCAGTAAATAAAAAATCTTAGAAAATATGGAAAACTCACAGACAGGCAGGAAGTGACATCCAAATTGTGGATGTTTTATTGGTAATGCCAATGGTGATCTTTTTCAACTGTAAAAAAAATAATATCAATTAAATTTACTTACTCTTGATATTAATAATTTTTAAATATAAGATACATAAAGTGTTGAGCCCAAAGATATATTTAATGAGTTATTAAAAATAAGACTTTCATTATAATTTTATAATTTTCAATTAATTAGTTCAAAATTCAATATATTTAACAGTATTTTCTGAAACTTGCTCCATAGTAATTTTCAATTTATTGGTATTTTTTTAGAAAATTTATTTATAATTGAATAACTTTCAGTAACAAATTGAATTATATTAAAATCAACATAATCAAAATTCATAAAAGTACGAAAAAAGTGCTAGCATATAATGTAAGTTATGTTTGAAGGTGAATTGTTAAATAAAACAAGTTGATTATTGAAAATAAATACAAAATGAAATATAATTTACTTACAGGTCACAGGCAATTATTTGCAAACTCGCATCCATTGTGCATATGCTCAACAACAGTCTGTTTTAATTGACAAATCTGTTCTAGAAGTCTATTTAACACTGTGGTAAGTTCACTGTTTTCGTTTTTCAACACCTTAACTTTGTCTTCAAGTTTGGCTATTCTTTCCAGTTTTCTTCTTCTACATTTGGAAGCAGCAACTCTGTTTCTTTGTCGTTTCCTTTCAAGTTTAATTTTTTCTTGTGATTCCATGTTGATTGGTGACATTGGTGGCGATGAAGAAGCAACACTAGGTACAGTCTGTGGTTCTTCTTTAATAACATGTTGAGGTATTATATTTGAAAAATCATTAGATGGCATCAGCACAGAGTATTGTGGTTCTGATTGATATTCAGATGAGTTACTGCCACTACTAGTCATTGGTATTTCTACTTGAATAGCACTATTGGAATCATTGTTATGTAAGCTATTGAGTGCTTCTACAAAAGGTTGCACATACATTTCTTGTTCTTCTGTTACAGATTTTGGAAACAATGATGGCGTAGGAGTATTAATATGTCCTAAAGCTGACTGTTGAGCCAAGTAAAACCTTTCTAATTCAGGAGAACTGAGCTTAAGCATATGTAAATCAGGAGACGTTAACAAGGGGCCAAGAAATTTTGGTTTTTTGGCTGAATTTTCAGAATTACAAGCATTTAAATCAAGAGTCATTGGCCTTTTTAAAAGGTTCACCTCACTTGATCCATTTATTTTGGTTGTCATTGCTTGATCGTCATAGAATGCTTCGTCCAGCATCATACTATTGGACGAATTATTAACCATTTTGTAGAGATGACACTATGTCGACGAGTAAAATTTAAAAAAACACTTCACTGTATAAAAAAAACGCAATACGTAACGTAAAATTAAAGATAAAATTACAATTTTTTTTATCAAACACTTATCTGATGTTGATAAGGTGACGGCGAAAATAAAACGTGAAGACCGCGTAAGCACACGGTGAACACAGACCTTCCAGGAACGGTACACGATACGTGAATGAGTAGTTCACCAACGATAAACCGTTCAGGGGGCCACCGTCGAACGCCGTTGATGAGTCATCGGTTATTTTTGGCGAGGACGTCACTTTCAGGCGCTCTCATTGGTCCGATGATATTCAGTGTCGGTACATGTTGAACGTAAATTGGCAATTGAATATCGCACATGAAGTACACGTGAACGTTTCAGCTTGTGTACCCGGTTGTCATACGATTAAAATCTGTGTAATAGTGTCGTAGGTAAGCGAATAGTTAATGGCAAACTTTAAAATCCCAAACGTGTTTTTATGTACCTTCTATTTAATCGGAGGTACTTTGGTATCACATGATTATTCCAATTATTGTAATGAAATATAAAATTTGTTGAGAATATTTTTCGATGAAAAATGCTCTTAAATTTATGCAGTAGGAATTCCACTTGTATTACTACTTTCATTCAACTATTTATCTAATAGTTTGACTTTTATTTTATTGGTGACATTATGGTGCTCGTAGTATGAGATTCTACGAGTATACCGGTTGGATATAAAAACATTTTTACGGGGCTCTTTTTATATTAATTCTTATAAAAGATACCTTTATTTTGTTTTTAATTTATATATAAAAAAACTTTTAAAACGTCGGACTCTAAGCAAGTGTATTGATATCATTGCCCTTTCGCTAGCCCTGGACCGTAGTTATTATTATTTTTTAAAAAGTAGTATAATGTAATGTTGTATAATTTTAATTTTAAAAACTATTACTAATTATAAGTATATTTAAACTTGAGTCGAATTTATAAATAATGTTTAGAACAAACCAGGCTAAAAAGTAGACTAGTAAGGAATGCCAATAGGGATAATAGAGACTTACGTTAAATTATGATCGTTATTTTTTTAAATTTCAGTAGAAACAAGTAAAATTTGCTTGTAGAGGAGTCCTGAAAATAATTTACATTACTACATTTTTATTAGAATTCAATTTAGGCAAAATGGTGTTTAGAGCAAAAAAAAGAAACTAGACTTATCTAGAATAAAATTACAACAATTGAATTTTTGGCACAAAGATTTGTTTTGAGTTTCAAAAAAATAATATATATCAGTCACAAATCAATGGCCAAAAAATCAGTGGCGTAGCCAGAAATTTTGTTTTAGGGGGCTTTATTTTTAGCTTATCATATACACTTACTAGCGTCAGTCTTATACAGTTAATAATTATAAGGGTCGCTATACCTCCCCTCCTTTAGTCCACCTTGACTACATCACTGCAACTATTACTATTTTGCACCGGTATATTAATTTGTCAGCAATTCATAGTATTTTATTATTATAACATTTTTCCATTTTTTTTTAGTTTTACTGTTTAGTAAAAGCGTGTTAATGCTAACATGATTTTTGCAACATTTTTTTTAAACAGATTCAATTACTATATATACGTATTACTAGAATTAAAAAGGTTCTATAAAAAGTATCAGAAGTAAAATTAATTAGTTTTTAAAAAATTTGTTCTAGACTATAATGTTAAAACTCATTATAGTTTGGAAAGCTTAAATACATGAACAATTTATTCAGTTAAAGAAAATAAATTAAATCATCATTTCAAGATCTATCTAAATTTTATTTTTTTTTGTAACGTCCTCTCTCTCTTGTATGTGATTGCTTGCAATAGAAAAGATGAAAAAAACTTTGTTTTGTGCAATGATATTAAATATCATTATATTCGAAACCATAGTATTGATAGAAAATATTAATTAACATAAAATTAGCTTTAGAACTAGTCAAATAAATCTTAGAGTTATTAAACTGTTTTATGTTCCTTTCTGTACCACAAATTATAGCTCAGCATCATATTTTCCTCGAGTCCTATTGTTAGCTAATAAAATTCTAAACATTGTTGATTTTTTCTATATGTCTCGTGATGTCTTCAAATTGAATATTTATAATGCATTATCTAATTGTGTATTGTAATTTGTATATATCTAATTGTTTATTATTAATCTGATAGTATTTAGTTAAAATTGTATTTTTTCATTTAATTTATGTTAAACTAAGAAATTATTGTATTTATTCTATCGCATTATGTTAAAGGGTTTTTTTTTTACCTGTTTATAATTTAAAAATAAAAAAAAATACTTTTAAAATAATCAGCTATGTTAATTTTTTTAAATTATCAAGTATATATTGTTAATAATGCACAACAACAAAGTTAATTAAAGTGTAAAAAAATAGGTAATCTACAACACCATTTGAATTTTAATAAGATATTTGTGCAAAAATAAATTATTTTTGTTAAAAAAAGAAAAATAAATAATATCACCAAGAACATTTAATATTATATTTTATCTTGCAAATTATATATTTAAAAAAGTTAAATAATACATGATTACAATATATTGCAATATTACAGTATAACAAAATTAATCTTTCACATTAACAATAGTTTGTTTTTGAATGTTATCCTTAGTTATTTCTGGCAATTCTTGAATACCTCCAGAATAAGATAACTTAACTTTAAAGTTAGGCATATTAATAATACAACGCTTTTGAACTTCAGCAATACATTTTTTTAATAGATCATATGCTTCTTGGTAATTAGCATCTATAAAGAAAATAAAAAACATGTATTATTTAATGATATACTTGAAAAGTTGTCAACAAGGGATCTAGTTCTATGATTTGTATTGGAAATGTAATACAATTATGAGATGAGTAAAGGTAATGTTTATTACTAAATTTTTAGAATTCATTGATAAAACTGACAAGATTAAAAATTCATTTTTTTTATCATCTAAAACATACTTTAATAATAACTATGAAACATTTAAATTTTAGCTTATAATAGAGCTACAAGTAGATAAAGAAAGAAACAAAGTTACAACTAAAAGTTATATTTATAAACATATAAATAATTTAAAAATGGCAAAAAATTCAACAAGTTTGGAGAGAATGTGTTTATTAAGGAAACCTACTTTTTTGTAAATTATTTCTATTTTAATAAATATATCTATGTGAATAATGTTTTATTCATTCTGTGTTTTAATTATTTATCTTTTCTTAGTTTTCATAACAAATAACAGTAAACAATTTTTTAAAATTCTATTATTACCTGGTTTGTAATAACGATCCATAACTGTAATGGACATTAAACCACCATAACCATGAGCACCATAAGGTACATCAACTTGAGCACCTAAGTAATCTATAAAATATAAGTATGATTGTTTTTTTGATGGATCAAATCCTCCGAGCATAAAATTAACTTGATAGGGACTCTAAAAATAATATAGGTATATTTGATTAAAAATATTAAAAATAGTTAATATAGAACAACTTACTTGGCTTCTTAGATGTTCAGCAACCGTTTTTCTGGTAAATGTAGCAATTGCAGGAATTGATAAGTCATATCCATTTCGCATACGATATAATTTAACATTTTGAGTAATATATTCAGCAAACCTAGGTACATCACCAGCTTCGCCAGTAACTCCCATTACAACATTATCAGTAATGTTATAAGTTTTATCTTCATCTAAAAAGAAATAAAGACTTGTAGAAAAACATGATTTTAATAATTAAGTACAGACATGTTGACTTACCATCTTTCATTACCATGATGCTATGTGCTGCCGTCATGTCTGTTGCAATAAGGACAAAGTTGTTGAATTTAATTCCAATAACAGTTTCCATTTTTATAAGTTTTTTTTTTAGATATGAAAAATTTAATAATGTTTAATAGAAAAAATTGTTTACTGTATTACTGTTTTATTTTTATATGTACTCTTAGTTATTGAATAAAATGATATAGCGGTTTTTACGTTTCCGATGTATAAATATGGAAAACCGTATGTAACTTCAAATAATAAATGATAAGCAATAATAGTTGATAACGATTGTTCACAAACAATTGACAATAAACATTATTCGGTGATTACAACTTCAAATAACTTAATTTTTTTATTTTGTAATGCCTGATAATCGTATAACTGCAAGTCGTTATTTTTAAAAATATTTTTTGTTATTATTGAATTTTTGAGTATTTTCTACCTGGTATTTTCTATTGTAAATCTTAAAAATGTCTGAAAAAAGAGAACATGAAGAGGATGATGAAAAAAGTAATTCCTCTGAAGATGACTATGTTGGGCCCAGTATATCTGAAGCTATAGAAGCCCCCGAAAAAAAGAAAAAGAAAAGTAATTTACTATTAGTTTTTAAATTTTATTTTCCTTCATTTATTTAATTTTAAATTACAAACTTATGTGTATATTAAGTTAATTATTATTGATACAAGTTCTTTTGCATTTCAAAATGTTTCTTTGATTAAATGATTATGTTTTTATTATAATAGCTCAATTATCAATATTATTTATATTATTAATAATATTTTGTAATATAAGTATATATAGATTGATTATTTTAATATTAACTGCTTAATTTTCATTAAAATAATAATTATCCTATTAGTTAAATTTATGTTAAGTTAATGCTTATGTTACCTATTATATGTAAAAAAATTTGTCCCAATGTCTTATGTAACATGTGCAAATTATATTTTTGTAATAAATATTAACTATTTTTTGTTATACATTTCTTTTTTAAGTAAAAATACTTTAAAAATGATAAATCGAGAAATGTCTGAATATAAAAAATAATTTTCTTAATATAATTGTTATTTTAATAGAACTTGAGTGGCTAATATTAAAAGAATCACTGTGTATAATAGTTTATGTATCAATTACAAAATTTGTTTTGCTATAGTTTTGAAGTATGAACATTTATATCTAGAAAATATGCCTACGTGTGATACATATGAGAAAAGCTATATGCATCGTGATGTAATTACACATATTGTTATGACAAAGTAATTTATACAGTTAAAAAAAATTACATTTGTTAAATTTTACATGTTTGCCATTTTTTTTTTATTAGAACTGATTTTCTGATAACAGCAAGTTGTGATGGACATGTTAAATTTTGGAAAAAATCTGAAGAATTAATTGAATTTGTAAAACATTTTCGTAGTCATCTTACTCCTATTATAGATCTAGCAGATAACTATAATGGTACTCTTATGTGTACCGTTTCAACAGATCAAACTGTTAAAGTGTTTGATGTTATTAATTTTGGTATGTATAATAAATAATTTCAATAATTTTATTGCTAGCATTGTGATTGTATAAATTATTTAGTATATAATTTGTTCTAAACTTATTATACAATAAAAATGAAAAGATAAATAGAAATATAATATTTCTAGATATGATAAATATAATACAATTAGAGCATATTCCACAAAATGCTAGTTGGGTTCATTCAAAAGGTGATCCGATTCATACGCTTGCAGTGTAAGTAATTTTTTTCCTATAGGTATACTAGAATTATTTAATGTTTTATTACTAAATAATAAAAAACTATTTTTAGGAGTAGTTCCACTGAACCTAAAATATTTATTTATGATGGCAAAGGTACAAATATTCCATTGCATGTTATTGAAAAAACGCACTCTAAATCTATTGTTTTTATAAAGGTATTATTTTTAAATTAAACTAATATAATTTCAGTTTAAATACTAATGAAAATTTTAGTTTAATCCTGTTTTTGAAGTAGCAGTATCAGCTGATAAAAGTGGTATCCTTGAATATTGGTCAGGACCCAAAAGTGATTATCAATTTCCAAAATGTATTCAATTTGATTCTAAACTCGATACAGATTTATTTGAATTTGTTAGGCATAAAACTTATCCATCAAGTTTATGCTTTTCTAATGATGGGTTAAAATTTGCAACTATATCACCTGATCGCAAAGTAAATATGGCAGCATTATATTTTTACTATTTAACTCTTAAATGTTTTGTAGGTTCGAGTTTTTCATTTTTTAAGTGGAAAACTTTATAGAACATATGATGAGGCCTTAAGTCGATTTAATGAACTCCAACAAAAAAAACCACAAGTTCCAAATATTGAGTTTGTTCGTAGGTATAAATATAATTTTGTTATTAATGTTCTAAAATTGAAAAAGTTTTTTATTTAAAAATTGTATTTAATCCAATATATCTAACAATAACATCATGACTCATTTTTTACTAAAAAATTTAGTACAAAATATTTACAATTATTATTCATATTTTTATTACTGAAAATATTTAGATTACTTAACTTAATAATTTAGTTGTAATACCTATTTTAGTTTCAAGTTTTACTGTGAGTAATATTAATTTAAAAGTATTTAGTGTTTAAACTGTTGAATATACAGCTTCTAATTTATGCACTTATTAAATTATTTAATAATTTAAACATTTTTTTATGAGATTAAAAAACATATATACAATGAGTCCAATAGAAACCCATTTCCTTACTTACTGAATATCCTATATATCTTTAATAATATTGATAAAATGTCTTAAATTATCTTGAGAAAATTTTCCTAAAAAGTTTAATATTAAAATTTTAAGTTAAATATTGTCAAAAGATTATAAGTACTGTGGAAATACTTAAAACTTTCCACCTTTCTTATCACGTTCTCGCTTATTGTTACTGATCTTCTCTTCTCACCTATTTTGTGTTCTCCTTTGTCAAATTTGTATTTTATATACTCTGTCTTACTACTACTTATTCTAAATATTTTTTTCCAAGAGCTGATCTCCACACCTCTAGCTTTTGATTAATTTCCTATTTATTTTCTCCTATAAATAAACACTATATTGTCTAAAAGCTCTCTTGATACTCTATCATACGCTTTCTTCAAATATATAAATACCATACACAACCCAACCAAACTGATTCTTTATTAATGATGTTTCTCCTCTTAGTCTTTTGTCTATTACATTTACCTTGTTCCTAGCCTATTATACAATTCATAATGTCTCTTAAACTTTGCTTTATATACCACACATTTGGTTTCTTTACACACTTTACTCTATCTAATCTTTTCTGATTTTTATATTATGAGAATATTAATATTTCAGAACTGTTATTTGAGAACTTATCAAATATTGAATAATTGTTAAATTTAGACTGTGAAAGATAAGAAAAGATTGACTAACAAAATAAAAATAGGAGTTTAAAATCAATTTAACACAAACAAAGACTTTATCATCTATTTTTATAGAACATAGTAATAATTTAAAAAATTGCCATCTCCTCTGACGACACTAATGATATTACTATATTACAGTTGAATCAGATTTAATATTTTTTAGTTCTTTAAATAAATTAATGCATTTAAGAGTTTTTTAGATTAATATGTTTTTTTTTTTTTTTTTTACAGAATGGCTATCGAACGAGAACTTGATAAAACAGAAGTTTTACAATCAGCAAATTTATGTTTTGACGAAAGTGGACATTATCTTTTTTATCCAACTATGTTAGGTGTCAAGGTGGTGAATACATTTAATAACACATTAGTAAAAATCATAGGGAAACCTGAGAATCTACGAGTATTAAGAATCACATTGTTTCAAGTCAGTATAATGACATAAGTTGTACGTTTTATAAAAAAAAAATGAAAATTAATTTATCTATTAAATAATTAATTTTATTTTAGGGTAAAGCCAAGAAACCTAAAGCTGCTGTTACATTGGAAATGGAAGCCGCTACAAACCCTACATTAGAAGGAGCTTCATCAGATCCTACATTATTTTGTACTGCTTATAAAAAGAATAGATTTTACATGTTTACAAAGTAAAATGAATTTTCGTCACTATCATTAATTTTTTTTATGTACATGGTTATTATTTTAGCTACACAATTTTCTATTAAAATGATAATAATTTTAATAAAACTCTTTTTTCTATTTTAATTTTAATTTTATTTATTTTTTGATTTATCAGGTATTAAGTAATCTTATAATTACTATTATAATAATTTTCCATATATCTTATAAGGGTGTCAAATTAATTTTTTTCAAATTACAATATACATATTTAACTAGTCTATAAAATAAAAAGTTATCTAATTAAGAAAATGATGGAATATTAAATAAAAGAATCATCTTGTAGACATTTTTAAGTAGTAACAAAATTGAATTTTATTTATTATATACTTATATACATTATACTTAATTCTTTTTTCTTATTTTCATTATCTTAAGACGAGAACCAGAAGACATCAAAAGTATTGATACTGATAGGGATGTTTTCAATGAGAGACCTTCAAAAGAAGATATTATATCGTCTACTGAAGCGGCATGTTAGTATAATTTTATTAAAATTATTGAAATTTTAATACATATAAAAAGTTAAATTAATGAATGTTTTTATTAAAAATAAATTATTAAAATTAAAACTATTTGTTATTAAAATTTTTTTGTATACTTATAGCTATCCAACGACTTTATGACACTGCTACTATACACACTGTTTATGGTGATATTCAATTAGCATTGTTTAAAGAATGTCAAAAAACGGTAGAGAACTTTTGTGTCCACAGTAAGAATGGGTATTATAATGGAAATATTTTTCATAGGGTTATCAAAGGATTTATGATACAGACTGGAGATCCAACTGGTAAATTATTTTACTTTATACATGCACATGATGTTATTTAATGTCATTGTTCATAGGTACTGGTTTGGGTGGAGAAAGCATTTGGGGTGGTGAATTTGAAGATGAAATTCGACCACATTTAAAACATGATAGACCTTATACATTGAGTATGGCCAATGCAGGGCCTGGTACTAATGGAAGCCAATTCTTCATCACATTAATACCTACAGTAAATAATATTAGTTTAAAAAAATATTTATCGATATATACTACTCATCTATTTATATTATAGCCTTGGTTAGATAATAAGCATACCGTGTTTGGACGTGTCACTAAAGGAATGGAAGTTGTTCAAACAATTTGCAGTGCTAAAACACATCCAAAAACTGATAAACCTTATGATGATATTCAAATTATTAATATAAGTTTAAAATAATCATGAAGTATAATTTTATAAAAGATTTTTGTAAATATCAATTTATAGTGTGACATTTAATAAGATTAATGTTTTTAAATTTAAACTTTTTCTTTATTCACAAAATTTTTAGCATAATAATATTATGGAATTTTATTTTATTTTGTTAGTAAAATCTATATGGAAGTATACGTAGGACGTAACAATAATTATTTATGAACTAAGTCTATCGTGACATACTAAGTACAACATACAACATGTACAAAACAATAGATGGTGTACTATAATATAAGTAAATTATTGACAATACATTAATAACTATTAAACTAATTTTATCAACATAAGGAATAACATGAGTAGATTTGCTGACAAGTAAAACATAGAACAATGACTAGCCACTGATTTTGATAAAATTGACTCGTTTCAGTCTACATATTCATAACACCTAATATTATGTCGGCTTTTTAGGCACGTGATAACAAATACTAAAATGTCAATAGTAATATACTATTATAAAGCTATTTAGTTGCAGTTTGAAAAACAATATACTAGCAACTAAATAGACAGCACATATTATAAATATAATATTATAAATTAATGAATCTACATAACTTATCTCAAAATTAATGTCTAAAATATTTAATTTTAACTGGTCCATCAATTTATTTGTTATTGGAATTAAACATATTAAACAGCTTAAAAAATACAGTTACAATTAATTGGTATAAAAATGAACTAAGATTAATAATTACGAGGAACCAAAGACGTTTGCGTCAACTGTACAAGAATTTTGTTACATTTTGTAAAGTCATTTGTCCAAAATTTTGGTAACATGTTTATCATCGTCCAATTAAAAAAATCCATGTTTTAGCTATATTAACAAAACCAAAAATGGACGGACGTGCAGCAATAGATAACAATATTTTCCAATATACACAAATATACAGTACTGGTAATATTTTTTTTTTTACACATTACCTTACAGCAAACACTAATCGTCTAAGTACATGTATAATGTGCGCACCCTGTTTAACAAAACTTAACACATTATTTTAATTACCCCGATAAATTTAATTGAACACTGTAATTAATATTATTATAATTGCAAAGTAATTATCGTTTAAAAATATATGTACACAATAAAATGAACAAAGGTGCCTTATTTTTATTAGTCAGTGGCGCTGTTTCTCTTTACGAGACATGTGTAATTTATTATGCAGCATTCGGCGTTATTTTCGTTTTCGTCTTACCTTGCTTTTGGTACCCTGTTTTGGGAATATGATAACAAAAATTAACATCACAACTAAAAAGTAAGATATTGTGATTGTTAAGCGACAACAAACACAACATATGTCTATGTTACTTTAGACAAGGCGTTTAATCGTCTGCAGCGTATTAACAACAAAATATTATTTCAATAAAATTAATCCACTTTGTAAATAGACGACTTAAAATAATTTAAACTTTGACAACTTAAAATATAACGAAATAAATTTGATAAAATTATAAAAATATTTCATTATACTAGCATCGGTATACTTAAGTACCTTTAGACTTTTTAAAGAATTGTAATCTGTTAATGGGAATTTAAGCGAATAATCTAACTATCTAAAACCAATAACAATGATAAAAAACACACGATCAAACCATTCTTTGGCCTTCAATAATTAATAACAATGTTGTTATTGGCAATTATCGATTGTCTAAAGTAACAATATATTTGACCCTCGGGCCAGGTAATATCATAACGGACAACACTGAGGAGCAGTAAACGCCGAACTCGAATCGGATCGGTTGAGTTCACTGCCCAAAACGATAGCAGGCAGTTCTTCGCAACTCAAGTACTCCGACAGCGATTCAGTGTCGCTGGACTTTTGGCTCGTCAAGTCTACGATAACATCATCGTCGTAGACAGGCGTCTGGCGTCTTCGACAAAATATCTCGTGTCGTTTCTCACGGTTGCTCATGGCCGCTGAATGGGAAAAGCCGTTGGCTGGCAACCGTTCAATGTGCAGTTCGCCGACCACTTCACCGGTTTGTGATTGGATCTCCAACACATTTCGCAAGTGTCCGGTGTCCCGAGTCGGCGGGTTCTCTTCCGAGTCGTCGTTGTTGCACACGTCCACGATTTCAGAGAAAGCTACCGACCGTTTCTTAATGACCGGTGTCTGTACAGGCGTGGTTGCGACCGTCTCACTGCGTACCGTTACCGTGACGGGCTGGCGTTCGGGAGTGCCGTCCACGCTGGTCTGTTGTATGGAATGGTGCAATAGCCGAGTGCTGTGTGTTTTGAGGTCTAGCCGCAGGTAAAATGGGTTATAAAACTTTGGTACCGATTTTTCGTCGTCGTTAGCGTCGTCCTCGGCAGGTGGTGGCGTCCTGTCCACGGAGAATTGCTTAACGACAACGTAACGGCCAGGATAAGCAATCGGTGCGGTATAAGCGTTTTGCATTTTGTCACCATCGGCCGCTCGGCCGTTATGGCCGGGCCCATTCGCCGTAGGCTGGTCAGGCGTTAGTGGCTGAGATGCTCCTCTACCGAACTGACAGAACCACTGAGCTTCTACCTCGTAATCTCATTTCTTCTCTTTTTGATCTTTGTTTAGGTAGTGTAGCACGTAATGCAACACCAAATCGTAACAATATTTATATTCAGTCTGAAACAAAACGATGTCTATTTTAATTAATAGTAAAAGGTTTAAGATTTTTTAGATAGTGCAATTGGAGTCAAATTTATTTTCGTCCATAATCATATGGTAGGTTTTTTTTTTTTTTGAATTTTTAAACATTGAATCAAATGAGTATTCTGGTAGTTTTTTAAATCGTCGATAATGGTCAAATAATGAAATAAAAACTATTTGGATAAATTGGATCGCGGCATTAAATAAACTTGAGATTTTTTTACCCTTAGAACGTATAGACTAAAGAAGTTTTGGAAATAATATAGAAAAATAAAAAAACAGATGCACCTTATTGGATTAGAAAAACCTTCCATAGATATGTAAATTTATGCGAATAATTTCAACGCTAACTTTGATTTCGTTTTATCGGTTCGCGGTTAAACCGATTGAAATTAATTAGTTCGGAAAATCGCCTTTATCAATTATTTAGTTAAGGATAATACTCGAATTATTCCAAGTCGGTTTGAAATACTAAAAATCAACTCGTAATTAGTACCGACTTGGAATTGCATAGTCTGTCTTGCATACAAAAGCATAAAAGTCATTTGAATGCAAATTTCGTTTCGGTTTTAACGTTGACTGAATACATAAATGGGCCGTTAAAGACATTGCGAGTTTGTTATAAAACAAAAGCGATCATTAATCTATTATTCTTGCTCTTGAAATACAATAATACACTGTTTTATTTTTTACCCGGTTTTATTCCGTGTGCATATTTCATTTTGCTATAATTATAAAATAATCTTTTAATGCCGGCGTATGAAGTCGTACACGATTCATCTCGTACATAAATAACGCATTATTAAATAGCTCTGTTTAAAACACATAATACATTTACTCGACCCAATGATTTAATTAGCCATAAAACGATACGAAATAAAACGTGAGCCGGTAGCTTTGAATTCGCCAAGGTGGTATTTATTAACCGATGGCAGCTGACGGTACGGAACAAAACATAAATTAATAAAAAGTCAGGTAACGGGTGTAAAATATATACAGAATGCAACGCGCGCAAATATTTGCATTGACTATAAATATGCATTGTGTATACCGCAAGATGAGGAAGATTGCAACATCTCAAGAGAATTTTGTTTCTTTTACTGTCAAATTTTGGCGCTACGACTAAAATGAAGATATCATTGGATCTCAGACAACATGTTGATCTCGTTCGGTGCAAAAAAATCGTAATGATCGAAACATTTCCCGTGAACTGATACATATATATTTTTATTAGCGATTGGCTATAAATAAGTTTTTAGAAAATCTTATCATGCGTTGACCATGCGATACATGCAGTACATTGCCAAAACTGAACATTTTATGGATTCAAAAAAATACAAACACCATTGAGTTATGTTTGAATTGTTAATTTTACAAAGCGTTTAACTCGGATGGGTGCAATATTATCAGTTTCTGGGTCAATCGCAGTATTATGTTTATTTTATAAGTTGAGAAACGTAACATTTCACAATGTAAATTTTGCTAAAGTTGTTTATTTTACGAGTTATAAGTAATTTTATTCTATTATTTAGATTTTCAAAAATTATCAACCAGATCCTAGTAGTAAAAAGTTCCAAAAAAATATCATTTAGAATCTAAAAGTTTCTTATAACCCCCCCACCGTACTTGGTTTTGCATAATAGACATAAATTTAAAAAATAATACATTCGATGAAAATCAAAACACAAGTGGCTGAATTGTTTTTTATACGCATATGGTCCTGTGTAAAGGTAAAATTGCAACATAAGCATAAAAAAAATCAACTAATTATATTGGGTTTTTAATTCTACGGAATCTAGAGATGATAAAAATTTTCTTGGTATCATTAGATTTCCCCTGACATCAAAACTCTATTTTTTATTTTGTAATCAAGTTGAATGAATCTTAAAAACGATCGAAAATCACCTCACGACACGATATTATTTTATTCGGTCGTGTCATGCTTACCATATTCTCTATGAGTTGTGGCCGATGGCGTCTAACCGTTTTGGCCGCTTGAAAAACATCCACTTCGCCGTGTTGGATGACCTGTTCGATGCAAGCGTTTGCCGCACAATATACGCCACACCTGCTCCTGCCGTCGCTATGGATCACAGTAAAAACATGTGTATTTATTTTTCAACTGTCCGAATGAAGCGAGAAAATAGAATTGTTCTTACTGGGAAACAACGACGACCGGTCCGTAATCGATTCGCTGTCTCCATCTCTCCACCATGTTCATAAGTTCGACTAGAGAATTCGTGGAAGTGGGTACTCTGTGGCCCATCGGCCAGCACGTCAGCTGGAACAGTTGAACGGTCCTAGGCGGAGCTTTGACACCGGCCATTAACTCGGTAAGCGATACTATCTATAAATCAGAACGCGATGAGTTTATCCAGCAACGTCAATGTGTTTATTAATAACGAGCACGCAACCTTTTTGTTGATCCGGAACAGCCATGTTTTTATGTTGGCGTAGTGATTATGAGATATGTGGTCGATGGTAAACACCGGTCCGTATTTTTTGGAATGTCTGCCCTCGGGCCAAAACGGAGGGTATTGTTGCTGTGCACAAGGAAATCGCAAATATAGTGTAAACAATGGTGTATATTGTGTTTGCATAGTATATAATATTAATTACTGTTTGCGCGCCGTGTTTTATACTCACAGAGTCTCTGGGCGGCAGGCAGAGCACCACGACGGCGGAACACTCGTAGTCGTAGACGAGCGACCAAAAGTCTCCGGGCGTGTGTTTGATGGGCCACTCGGTGACTATGTACTCTCTCGGTTTGGTGTAACCCTGTGCAATAAACAACCGAGAACAAACAAATTACAACATGTTTGACAACCAAACGGCCGTGTGTTTATACTAACGTCTACGAATACGGCGTTTATGTAGTCGGTAAACGTGTTGCCCTGGAACGAGGTCAAGTACGGTCGGAAGTTGTCGGCTGTAAAATAAAGAAACAATTGAAATCGTGTCGGTTTAACGGTTTTCCCGTGCGGGTCTTACGGGGTACGATGAGCACGTCGCGATTTTTCTCTCGGTTATCACCTCTGTGACCTCCGGCACAGTCGCCAATGGTAAACCTCGGCGTCATTTTGCAGATTTGCTGTGTGAAAATGTGAATTCAATGAAAAATCTCATACGATCAAATCTATTTCCCGTGGATCGCTTACCTGGTATTCCCTCTGGTATTCGTTGAGTTTGGTTTCGTGATCTTTCATGGACTTTTGTTTCAGCTTCTGCGACAGCTCTTTGACGGGAAACCACGAGAACCCGCACAACACGAATTCTTCGAGCGTGTCGTAGATAAATTTGTATTGATTCTGCGAAATAAAAAAAAAATATTATAAAAATTAGTTAACAATATTAGTTCTCGCGCGCCGTCCTACCAGCGTCTCGACCATGCCTTTTCTAGACTGCCTTAGTGTTTTTAGGTAACCGAACACGTCGTAACAATCTTCTTCTTCGGCGAGTTCCAGGTTAGCGTCGATGGATAAGTATACGCCCGAACGACCTCCTCCATCGCTGTTAAAAAACCCACATTATATGTATTTTAAAAGCTATTTAGCATAATTGATGCGAAATAATTATTAATTCGGTAGATTAAGTTTCAAGTATTATTGAATATTTATATGTGAGTAAACTCGGCAGGGAAAGTACTGTTCTAAAATGAATGAAATATTTAAAATGAGCTTAATGAGAAAGAAACGTTTATGCGTATCAGCAGTCCACAGTAACATCTCGATACGCGATACAAATAAAAAAGCTCTGCAATATTAGATGATTTAAAAGTTATTCATCCGCTGTCATTGCAAAATCACCGACCACTACTGTTGACAGTTGTTCGTATAAACAACTGTTGAGTACATACTTGCAATGGACCACTATGGGACTGTCGTGATGAAGTCTCGAACCTACTACGGCCCTCATTCTCCGCCTGAATTCAAGTATGGCATTGGAAAATGGACAGGTGTGACACGGCCACTCGGTGTAATGGAACTGCAGCAGCGTCCTGGTCTCTTCATTATTCTGCAAACGTAGAAAGAGTAGGTGTCATTCTGATAATAAAATGAGAAATGTTTTCCAGCAACTCACAGTTCCTTGTTTCTTCACCACTTGAATGGTTCTGATGTGGAAATTTGCTAATTCTTCTTCGTGTAAAACAGATATGTTGAGATCACCGTAGTTTTCGCTGTTCACCTTGGCAGACGGCCAATACTGTATGCACATCACCTGAGGGCAAAAAAAAAAAAAACAAATTCGCATAAGGTCCTCTCCGCCGACTAAAAATACACGACGTTTATCGTCACCGACCTTAATGAAATCGAACGTTTTCGTCAACATGACTATACAACACGCGTTTTCCTGCCAAATCATTCGCCAAAAGTCGTTGACCGTGTTCTCCGTCGGCCCTTGTGTCACTATGTACGCGTTCGGCTTCAGCAAACTCTATAAGCCACACGCAAGACAGAAAATTAATTTTTATGATAACTTTGAACTTAAAAACATCTCTTTTCTGCAAACAACTCTTAAAGACTAACTTTTATTGTATTGATAAACAGACAAAGGTTTGCAAGTTCGTTTTTATAGTTTGTACATTTCCTCTCATTGCACGCGTGTATTGTAATAATTATAAAAGTAGTTTAATTATACATACATGCGATTACTACGCATTATTTAATTCGACGACATGATATTTTTACTACAGCATATACAGAGTGTTCAGTAAGTAAAGAAACAGGTAAATTGTTACAGACAATGAGAAAAATAGAAACCTTACTTTCTCACTAAACACCCTATATACATTAAAATACAGAATAAATGATTGTATCGCTGGGAAAATAAATGACTTAGCTTGATACTAAACGTGTGTTTATTATGTTTGACAAATGGCAATTGACTTTCGGAAAATAACAAATATAAATTTAATTCTATTTTAACACTACGTCGAAATATTTCCTCGTGGTAATACAATTCAAATAATAGCAAAATTGAATACTTGAATTTCGGATTTTTATTTTATAAGCTAGTTAAGTGCGTATGTTGGCATTCACGAAATAAAGTTCAAGAAACTCTTTTAAGTTATCAGGAATGTTTAAAAAAATTACTGATTAATCAACATACATATGAAATTAAAAATACCTAAATTAATTTTCTTAAAATAATTATTATTTTAAGAGATATTCGAGCGACTAGTGTTAAAAGAATCACCCTGTAATTTAATATGTATAGTATTTAGAGCTTAAAGTGAGGTGGTTGCGTTTGACACCGTTTAAAAAGTGTTTTTTTTAGCATTTCTGCAAACAATTTTTCTCGACCGATAGTTGAACGTACTTGCACAATGTTCAGAAATATATAAAGTATCTATTCTTAAATGTAACATGAGTAATTATGATGATATGTTACTTTGTCGCTTTAAACCTCAATAGTATTAACTTAGATTAAATTTGTTAGTAAGACTTATTAAAAAACCGCCGTTTAATAAACGTTGATATTAAAAACATCTAAATTGAATAGCGTGACAGAAAAACGCATATTTTAATAAATTCTAAAAAACTCTTGCAAATCACATAATTTAGTTTTTATTTTAATTAGTTTCACAGATGTTAATTTCGAACTTTTCAACATTTATTGTTTTTTGTTTCATGAATAGTGCATTTTTAAATTTTATACAGATTTTCATAATTACAGTAGAAATGCTCATTTGCTAATATGATTTACACAATATACGAGAATAAAGTATTCTTCGGTTCCATATTGTCTCATAGGGGCAGTTAGACCGTAAGACGGCTAGTTGTGCACCGCAATAGAATGCCGTTTTACCTTAAGCCTATCCAAATCGCTATTGTTGAAACGGCAGAGGGGTCACCTGGGAGGATGACGGCTCACTGCACATCCGATAAGTAACGAGAGTAGACAATAATTAAATAACCGCATATATTAGAAATTCTTCAAAGAGTATCTCAAATTTAAGGGGTAATGGGTAAATCACTGGTGATGTGCAGTAGAATAACGGTGTATGATGGCCGAACAATTTACCGTTCAAGGCGCTTGCTACAAAAAAGATAAAAAAATTGCCTCACTGACGTACGACGATGAACTGTACACGGATGACAATTGACACCGAGGTCATCGATTTGCCGTGCTGGGTGGGTAAGGGGTGAGTAAAGACACCAGAGATTAACAGAGATCACACGATATATTCAACGATGTTTGTGACACTACTAGACCTTTGCTAAAAATCATTCTCTACCCAACGATTATTATAGTTTTATAAAAAATTAGTTAAAAGCATAATAATTCATAATTCAGGCTAAAAAAAAAATTGTTTGTTTTTAAAACTATGAATACGCCGAGCGATGAACAGTGAAAATAAATATTTATTTTGAATAACTTAGTTATTACTATTTGGAGTGTCAAAGTGAATTTAGTTTTTAAATTAATAATATTTTTAATATAGTTTTAATCTCATTTAATTGAAGTGAAAGTTTTATTATTTTAAATATACTCGTGCCACCAGCAATATAAAGAATTATGTCTAATCTTAACAAAAAAGGACCTATCAGAAGTCTGATGAAGAAGTGTAAATCCTTGAGAACTGTAAGCAGTGTACAATATTCGAACATAGAAATTGAAAAGCACAGTAGCGATCGACATTTTATTATTTTATAGATTCTGAAAAAAAGTGCATCTAGGGTTCCTGTACTGATTCGAAATTGTAGAAAAAATATTGCATCTGCCGTAAAGCGTGTTTCAAACAAAAGTACTCGAGTTTCGCAAGTTAGCACTTGCGATAACACTTTACAGAGTTCATCTCAAGAAAACGAGACGAACACAAAAAAACAAATCGTGCGTATGTATAGCTTAAAACACTTAAGATAACTCGTGAGTAATTATTTTCAGGGCCTCAAGAATTCAGTAAGCATATCAGGTGCAAAAAATGAACTAACAAACATGTCAAATCCGACGGTGGATATTATCGAACAGAATATCCAAGTGCCGAAGGATTCACACAGTAACGTAACTGAATTTATAGAACCTGAGCTGACCGAACAAAGCGCAGAAATTGGCGATAATCACGAAACATACGTAATCTCCGATTTGATAGCAAATCTTAGTGAGAAACTTAAGATAGACACTACGGAAATAATTCAACGAGAAAAAATTCTAATGAATTTGATTGAAAATGAAGACATTTTGGGTAAAATCCAAAGAGACATTCAAAAGGAATTGATGTCTGCTAAATGTAATGTCTATGAGTCGACTTCAATTAGCAGTGAAGAAGACAATATTAACAACTCTACTACGGACTGTTCAATATCGCCAAACATTATTTCTGATTCCGACAAAAGTTCTATTGTCGTAAATATCAGTAGCTTAAATGATCCCGCCCCGTGTGATGATTCACCTAGTGGCGAGAAAATGTCAAACGATAACGATCGTTCTACGGAAATCAATGTTCACTCTGAACATGGAGGCAATTCAGCTGCTGGTGATTGCCGAAAGCCACATGAGAGTGAACAAGACGTTGAAAAAAAGCCTAACCTTATTGTTTATAAACTTCCATACTGTGAACCATCAACTAGTCGTGAGGTGGTAGAACACAACGCTAGAGTCATGGCTTCCATGAGGCTGGAAGCTGGAATGGAGACGGGGGCTGCAGGTAAGCCAAATGTTAAAAAATAGAGCGCCGCTAAACACTAACCCGCTGCTCGCCTTTTATAAATCTTTAAATTCTAATGTCTTAAAAAGTAATATTACAAAACTCGAATCGATCAGTTTTAAAATACAGTTAAAATTCTACAAAGCTAAAAGGGTAATACAGTTAAAAACCTTTATAAGGTTATTTTTCTTCTGATGACACGAGTGACGATTATCGAGATGAATTCGAATATTTCGTAAGTTCACCAGAATCAGATTATGATCCAGAAGACTACTCTTGGGCAGAATATTAAAGAAAGTACGTCTGTCGTCATTTTTACACGACAAAAAAACAAGTTAGTATATAGATTTTAGTTTTGGTTATATTTTATTTCTCAGTAATATTATAATATTAATAATCATATAATCATTTTTTTTCTATTCAGTTATTATAGTTTGAACAATTATTATATTATCATGATGTAAGATAACCAATAAAAATAATTATATTTTATATATACGTGTTTGCAATGTCCAGATTCTTAAGACTAAATAATTTCTAAAATTTGTCGGTATTTTTTGAGAAAAAAAAAGTTTATTACAACGATTATATTTGCGCCAAGTTAAATTTTAGGTATTATTGCAAACAAATAACACACTTCGGATTTATACAAAGTAAAAAATAATAATATTAATTTCGTCACAGTTATGATTTTTAATTTTTTAATTCTAATTATACAGTAATAACAGTGTTAAATATTTATCATATTAAACAACTCCCAGATGTGCAAAAAAATAAATCAATTATATTTAAATACGTTAAAATATTCAAAAACTAACAGTTAAAGGTTATTGTAAACCCACAAAAAGCATTATGTGTTTTAATAAAATTTAGCTTCAAAATCAAGAAGGAGTGGATACTTCGTATCATAAAATATAAATGTACGTTTGCGGGTGTTTTTGTTATTGGAATTTTAATAGACGACTATTTTAATGTTTTAATATTGGCACAAATCACGTTCGTAATACATAGTTACAATTTTTTTTCTTTGTTGAAAATTTTGGTTCTAGGCACTTCTAGGCGCGAGATAAAAACCCTCATCGTTGCCTTCCAAACCTAATACGTTTTTTAACTATTTGTCCCATAGCGAAGTCCACTCCTTTCTTTTAATTAATATTTAATAGACACAGGAATATCGCATTTTTTCGAGAGACAATCAGCTAAAGAAATCAAAATAAAAAAGTTAATTTTGCGCTCAAGATATAATTTTTGATCTTGGAAGATATCAATTAATTTCAAGTATTTCGTTTTTTAAGTAAGTCAGTACGTTTAAATTAAATTATTTATCTGGGTCTACAAACACCACGTGTTGTTAGTTTTTGAAAATATGTTTTATAAATTCGTTATACATTTTTAACGGAACGAATTTGGGTTTTTTGGAAAAAATCAGAAAGGTTAATTATAAGTTTATCGTTTATAAAATTCTATACAGAACGTGCCAAAAGTTACCTCACTAATATTTACACCTGTTACAAAACTAATAAAATGATTTATTTTTCACAATTTATTTCCATGATTAATCAATGTATGAATAATTGTTGGCTTTCAATTATAACAAGCTCCGAGTGAATTTTGATTTTAGTTTTATTGTTTATCAAGTATACATATATTTTTGATTTGATAAAATAATAATTAAGTTCCAACGATAAACTCTATCAAATTCAGCTTTAAAAAACGAAAATTACTTGGATAACAACATCTACTTACATTGATAAGGTCATATAATTTATTTAAGGTAGTATCATACAAATTAAATTCAATTTTATTTTAATAGCAATAATAAATAATATATTATACGTGTTAATTATAAGCTAATATATATTAATAATCTAAATAGTAGACTGATGTTACAAAATATCTAATCAATGTGAAAACAAGAACAATTTAGAACGAAGAAGAATCTACGACACGTACGAATGTTAGTAAAAAGCGCTTCATGCGTTCTCTCCTATGGTGATAGGTGTGTTTTTTTGTCGGATAATTTTTTTTGTCTTATTTGACTTCCCTTTTATTTGCAGATGCGGTTTTTCGCCCGTTCGGGTTTTTGCCCGCATTTAACTTAATTATTTTTATAAAAAATATAAATAAAGTTAACCTAAACAACTTAAAAACCTTGTCTTGTTTTTTTATAAGTATCTTAAATATTTATGTCTAAATTTTAATAATTATTACAGATTGGACATAAAATATTGTAATCTTCTACTGGTATTATTTATGATTAAAATAAATAATTAATATCGAGATTTGATTCGAAGAATTGTATTTAAGGATAATTTTGGAAATTGTAATAAAATTTCCATGTAATTCAACTCTATACTATGGTATATAAAACTAATTTTATTAACTAGTAAAAGACAAGAAGCTTTTCATGAAATTTATAGAATTATTATTTGAATGAACGGTGGTACTCGCGAGGGTTAGTTAACGTTCGTCGTTTTATTTTGTCTTAAGTCATACTCTGTCGAGGGAAAGGATTAAGGTGAGTGGCCTGTATGAATGAATGTAGAATGAACTTTTAAAACATAGAACAACTAAATGTATTATACATGAATCATAAAATCTTATATTCACCAATATGGATAGGGAGTTCTTAATACTAATGTCACAACGTCGCAGATATAAACAAATAATAAATAATATACAAAAAGTCCACTATATTTTTGTAGAAACATAAAGAAGAAATAGTTTTATGATTAGAGACCGGATTTTTATTCATTGATTGATTTTGTTGAGTTATTTCAAACACACCATCAGCTAGTACAAATTATAATATTGGGGAGAATTAGGAGATAATTAGTTTAAAAACAGCCCAAAACAAAAAAATACATAAAATTTACATACATACATGGGTCAAAAAAAAAAAAAAAATTATAAATCCGGTCTCCATTTCCTTTATCTGCGTGTAAAAATGTAATAACTAAAATAGTTTTTCGGTCGATTTTTGAAATTTGAACTGAAAATTCATTTTAATAATAATATGTATTCTTTTACTAATAAAAGTGTGTTCTAATAATTACACCAAAAACGTTTTCAAATAATTTAAAAAGTTATGTTCATATACTATTCATCAAGGATAATAAATATCTGAAAACTTTAAAATATAACCTAAGATAAAAGGATGCCACCTAAAAATAACTATTAAAAAATGTCGCAGAATTAAATAAAAATTGTTCAATCGGCAAAAATAATTTTTTTACTCAAACTCATAATTTTAGTTTTGGGAGAGCGTTATCAACAAAAAGTTGTAATTGCAAAATATTCACTCAGACATACATAGAAAATAAAGTAAAGAGCATATAGATTATACATTTTCAACATCGATGGCTCCAACTGAATACGATTTGTGAAAAAAAAAATAGTTCTAGAGACGTAAATAAATAAAAAAAATATACATTTTTTTTTAATAAACTGATAATTACAACGTGTCAAGTGTTAGACAACGCATAATCAGCACTAATATTATGCTAAAGTACAAATGTCGAATTGAAAAAAAAAATTAATAACACAAAAAGAACTTGATTAATTAAATAATGAAATAGTGAGACAATACTCTCGGCTATGAAATACTCTATCGACCAAAAAGATGTCCAATGACAAGGTCACTAATACTAAATAATTTTGTGGAGTTGAAAGACTCAGTGTAATAACTTGTTATTTTCGCTTATTTTTTAATTCGCGTTTTTATATTTTCTGATGTACATATCCACCAGATAAGCTAATATCATATAAATATAAAAAGTTTCGTAGTAAAATTGTTTTCTTATATTTTAAATTGTTTCAAACTATAAAGATAATCGGTTATTGTGCTGGACCATACAACTGCAGTAAGGTTTTTTATTGTACTGGTACTTTAAATAAAAAAAACAAATATTTTTTTTATTTAATGTAAAAATATGTTCGTAATTTTTTTTGAAAAAAAAAATACGGTTAAAACGTTCTACTTCAACAATTTTTCTCATCTTTATTACAATTGAAATTTATTCGCATAGAATTATTGCAGTGAAAATATCATTGACCGGTCGATATGGACTCTCAACGGTCGAGTGGGATTTGAATAGGATTAATGGGTAGGTTCATTACTTGTTTGTGTGTAAACAAGGTCTAAAAAGGTTAATATTATTATTTAGTAAACCATAATACGTATCCTGTATTTACTGTAGTACTAGAGTATATACAGGGCGATTTACAAAATATCTTCGAAAATATTAGTTTTAATCGATATTTTATTTTTTTAACAAAATGGATACTTGTTCAGCTGCTTTACATGGAAAATTATTTTTTGTTATCATAACTTATACCATATACTTTAGCATCAACTCTCGATGTTCAAAAAACAATCCCATTTTTTTTTATATCATCAAATTTATTCCATTAAAAAAAAAATGTGTTTATTCAAAATTCATTTTTATATTATTAGATTTTCAATGGGTTACAGCTGTTGAAAGTTTGTGGTAAATCGGGAAAAAAATCCTGCTTGATTTTAAAAAAACGTCAACATTATCATAACGTATACAGATAAATGCTTCCGGTTCTTAGAAACACGATAATCTGTACACCCTTTCGTGTCATGAACCGGTAGCATTTAGCAATTTATGATATGATAATTTTGCCGTCTTTCAAAATTAATTATGTTCTTTTTCTGATTTAACGTAAATTTTAAACAGCACGAACAATGTTCACATTGATTTTTTAAACGAAATTACTTATATTTGTTATAGGACCATCTCTGATGAGGTGCAAAGGAAACACACGCCCTTTTTGTAATATATTCTTTATAACACTATGAGTCTCTTTAAAGTGAAACTAAAAATTGATGTTAATTTTGGAAATTTAATTGCCCAGACTATTGCTCTGATTTAAATTTATTTCCATGAATTCCGCAATAGATAATTATTTCAATTATGTAGAATATTACGTTTATATTTAAATGTAATACGGTCGGTTAATTAAAATGATTGAGTATAGTGACTAGACGTTATATGCCATTGTAAGGCCTAATGAGAATTATAATTATTAATTGGCAGGTACTCTAAGGGATCTCTATCGTCATCACTTTTGCTAACATTATAATTTAAACTAATTGAAAAGGTACAACGCATTTGTAGATTCTGCAGCGTGTCCGAGTTTTAGTTCTAATTTAAGATGTTTGCCAGGTGACAACAATTTATAAACCGCCAAATACGTATAAGTGACGTATGCGGTCAGTAAATCATAATTTCTAACTCATTACACGGTAATTTGATATGGTTTCGTGTTTACAATTAAATGAATCGGATAAACAA